GGAGCAGCGGGCGCCCTGGGGCGGCCTGGCGCAGGTGCTCATGGTCCTGGGTCTGTGCAGCGCAGCCCCTCGCCCTGGCCTGCAGCTGCCCGGCTCAGCTGCTGGAGCCCCGCTCAAAGTGGAGCCTGGGTGGGGCGCCCTTTGTACCAAGAAAACAGCTTCCTGGTGGGGACAGCACTGTCCTTCCTCAGCGGGGGGCTGGTGGCCACAGTACTCACTGGGGTGCTCCTCCTGCAAGGCAGTCAGAGCCTTGCTTCCAGCTCTGAGGGTGCAGCCCGCATTGTTCCAACCGCTGAGACACCCTGGGCCCTGTCCCTGGTCCCCTTCCCACTGAGAACTGCCTGGGAGCAGGCTCTTCCTGCCCTTGGGCCATGGCACTGATTTTTCTGGTGTATCTAAGCGTCTAATGAGCCGCAGCTGGCGGTAGCTTCTCCCATGGAGCCACAGAAAAGACATCCTGAGGGATGTTCAAAAATAGGCTGAAGGGAACGCTGGGAGAAGGTGAGGGTGGAAGAGGTGATGGGGGGGAGAGGACAGAGGAGGGGGAAGAGCAGAGAATGAAGGAGAAAGGGCTGGTGACGCCAGAAGGCAGAGGCCAAGCAAGTGGGGCTTTCCTCCTGGTGCCGGGTACAATGAGGCCTCACCCCTGAGCCTTCCCTTCATGAAGAGCAGGGGGTGGGTGCTCAGCTACCCCAGAAGCCAGGGTTGGGACAGGACCAAGCACAGGGTTGAGGTCAAGCTTGTGGCAAGACAGGGGGTCCCTTAGTTTTTGCACCATAGTTTTTGCACTTTGAAAGCCTATGGACTCACTCTCAGCGAAATGTTTCTAAATGCGTAAAGTATATAGGATTACAAAAGAAACCAGCTGTATTGAAATGCAACTATTGACCTATTTTTTTTTAAAACAACATGAGGTATAGTAATATACATGCCTCTCCATCAACATGTAAAATAATAAAACCTAGTCGCAGGTCTAATCTAACACAGACCATGATTTCATAGTAGTGATGAGCTTACATGATATTTCAAGAAAGGCAGCATTAAAGTGTTATAAAAATATCTGTAATCTTGCTGGAGATAAAGTCACAGTTGTGGTCTGGGGACTACAATTATAACTAACGGAAATACTACATTTCAGTTAAAGTTAGAGGAAATAAAGATGGTTTTTTTTCCTGATCTGAGATCCTAAACCTCTGAATTATCCTTGTGGGACTCAGGACAAGTATCTCTGCACTGAGTGGGACAGTCACGGACCTTGTTAGTTTATTTAGCACTTTACACAAACATTACTTTATTAGCTCGTCACATAACTTGAAGTAGGTACCCTCTCACCTCATCTCACAGATGGGGAAACTGTCTTGGAGAAATGCAGGTGACGTGGACACAGGCAGCATATGGCAGGGAGGGGAAGGCTGTGGGAAATGAACTTAGGTTTTCCCTGCTAATGCCTGCACACGCAACAGCCACCACCACCCCCTGCTCCCAATACCTAGCGCCTCGGCGCCTTCCCTGACCTGGAGATCCACCAAGGGTAGAGGGGGCACGCCCCTCATCATTATTGTAGCCAGTTTCCAGCTGTGCCCCTGCAGACAGGCGGCTGCACCCCTGGGCACGCCCTCAGCAGTCTCTCAATTGCTTGTCTACTTGTTTCCATTGCTCCTGTGAACGTAGGCTCCTGGAGGGAGCCCAGTGCTGAGCGTGCACACCCCGCCTGTGTTTGCTCAGTCGCGAGGGGTCAGAACTCAGGGATGGGCCTCAGGCCCCGGACCCCAGACCCACCCTGCACACACCGCTGTATGTTCCTCAATGCCTGTACCCCTCTGTGAGAAATGCCACAGTGCCATAAGCGAGTGTGACAGGGACCGTGGGCAGGGCCACCGAGGAACAAGTCAAGCCTGCTGGACAGAGTAAACTGAGAAGGAGTCCTGTAAAGCGTGAGTTCTGAGCCAGAGTTTTTCCCACTTTTCAATTATGAATATGCCCAAACATGCAGAAAAGTTGGAAGACTAGTGCAATGAACACCCGCCCATACATTACCCCTAGATTAAACGATTGTTAACATTTTGCCACATTTGCCCAGTGTGTGTGTGCGTATGCATGTAACGTTTTCTGGACGATTTGAATGTAGGACATTGCAGACATTATGGCACTTCAGCCATGAACACTTGGGCATCGCTTCCTAGGATTGGGCTCCTTGTCAATATTCCCCTATAACCATAATACCATTTTTATACCTAAGAAAATCAACGCTCATTCCCGCACCTCCAGCTCATTTTCAAATTTTGCCCAATGGCCTAATTTTTTCTTAAACAAGGATTCAATCAATGTTCATGCCTCAGAGGCAGGTTGTAGATGCTGTTGACTGAATGGGAAGCAGGACTTCATCATGGGAAGGTTCCAGAGTCTCCATGGTGTGTGCCACCATGGCCGGCACGAGCAGCAGTGTGAGGAGCCCTGAAGCTTACACTGGTGAGTTTGGCTCTATCGCAGGGATTAACCCAGAACAAGGAAGGGCAGGATCCCAACTGTGCAGAGCACCCAGCAAAGACCACGCTGTCCTGAGGAAGCTTCTGGGTGTCTTTATCAGATCACACCTGCTATCACCTTCTTCCCCAGACACTCGGTCACAATGAAATGCACGTGGGTTCTCAGCCCTGGGTCAGGTCCTGGGGAGGCCCTGGGAAAAACCAGTCACATCTGTCCCTGGTCTGTCTGGTCAGCCCCACCTCCCTGCCCCACGCACTCTCCCTGCATCCCCCCTCCTTCCTTTGCCCTTAAGAACTTAATCGGACCTGCTGAAGAGCCTCCTGGGAGAACAGCTGGCCCGAGACAGAAATAGCCCAGCAGAAATCCTGACTCTGTGAGAGCCTCTGGCTCCGGCCAGGGTTGGAGGCAGAGAGAATGGAGGGCTGGAAAGAGAAAAATGAGAACATGCCCCTGCCCCTCTGAGACCCCACCGTCTGGGCCAGAGAAGCTAAGATGCCCGGAACCCAGGACTCATGCGGTCACCCCACCCAGGCCCTGCCGCCTGATGTGGGTTGAGCACCTGCCTCTAGAGGCCAGCTCAGGTCGGGGCACAAGCTTAACCCCCGGGAAGAGGGCCCCTGGCCCAGGCTATGCTCTGGCTCTCTTCTCGCCAAGCCCCACCTGTAGTGGGGAGTCTGGGAGATTAAGGAGATGTGTCCATCCTGAGGCCGCTTTCCTTCTAGATCAGGCCCCACTGACCCCTGCGTATTTGGAGTACCCTGCCGTGGGTGAGGTGGAATGAACACCTTTTGGTGTTCGGCATCAGCCTGATCCATGTACTTTTAAAATCACAAGCACCCCAGGAAAGGTGCTATGTTTGCTTACAAGGACTCCCTTTGCCTGAAGCGATTGAATCCTTAGCCCAAGCTCCTGGTGCTCAGGACGGAACCCAGCCCACCCCCACCGCCACCTCCTCCCCACGCTGCGGCCCAGCGTCAGCACTGAACGCACGGAGCAGCTAAGGACTGAGAAGAAAGGCCCTGACTGCCCCTGACTGCAAGAGCAGGGTTTGAGGGTCAGTTTTTCTCTCCCAACCTCCCAAGAGGGACTCAGAATGGAACCTGAGGCCACCCGCAGTGACAGGCTCAGGCTGAGTGGGGGACGACGTTTTTAGAGTCTCTGATTGTGATGATCGCTAAGGGGATTGGTTGTTCAAGTCTCCAGGGGTAAGTAGAAAGTTTGATTTGTGCTACTCTGGAAGGCTACTTCCACCCCGTCATGATTTTCCCATTTGTGTCTGATTCTCGAGCACTCACAGGTCATTTCTCTCTGCTACGCATTGTGGGTACAGGGTGGTCTAAAAATGTGCATGTCCTCGGGAGGGGACACAGGTCTCACGACCACGCTGCTGAGACCGAGCTCATTGACTCTCTTTGCTCTGCATCAGGAGAGCCTCGGCGGGAAGCCAATGGTTCATGGAAGGGGGAGCCCTCTGCAGGGGAAAAGGAATAGAGAGGGGAGGGGGGCCATCTCCCAGATCCACTTCAGATTTGAGTCCAGGAATGGCACTCACCCTCACTGTTGTCAGAGGCACAAACCCTGATGGGCAGCGGGGCGTGCCTGAAATGGCAGCCATTTACCCATTCACCCATTCATCCATCCACCCATTCACTCATTCATTCATTCATTCACCTAGTCAGTCAGTCAGTCAGTCAGTCACCAAACCTGCCTTGAGCAGGACTCTGTGGGAATAGGCTGATGAGCTAGGCCCCCGCTCTCACTCAGCCCTGATGCTCCCTGCACACCAGGTATGCGCCCTCCACCTGGGACACTGTCTCCATCGGTCCGAGTGTCTGATGCCCGCGCTCCCCCTTCACCCTGCTCTCATCCACAAGGCCTTCTGTGGTCCCTTTCGCCGCCTAGAGTCACTCCTCTGTTGCCCCATCAGTACCGACTCTGCACCTTGCCAGGCCCAGTTGCTTCTTTTCTCTTTTGTGATGGTTTTCACTCATCGCATCCCATGCCGCCAGAGAGCTGGGTCCCTGACGTGGTTTCCCACTTGCGTTCCTCCGCAGAGGTCCACACAGTGCTGGCCAGTGCTTCTGGGGGAATGAATGAATGGCGAATAAGTGAATAAGAAAGGGAGGGTGAGTTGTGCTTTTTGCAGGATGATGTCAACCCCGTACAATTCTAAGCTTTCTACAGCGATAGGCAGGGACATTTAGAAACTTAGTGTATTTCCCTGTTAGGCTGACCTAGGATGTAGGCATCTGTGCTGTGGATGTATATTTTCCCCCCCTTAAATCATAGGGGTAAGATTGTGCTCAGCCACACACAGTAGGTTTTCTTCTTTGTTTGGAGTTAGCAGGGATTCAGGAGGCAGTTTCTCTGCACTCAATTGTCTGGATGTTTTAGGGTTTGTTGTAACCATGAGTATATCTTACTTCTTTGTGGTGCTTAGAGCATCCCACGTTTATTCACAGCTGCTTCGCACAACAGCTCTATCTTGTCTTACAGAATTAGAAATGATTGCTCAGAGAGGTTAAGCAACTTACTCGAGGCCACCCAGCTGTGAGGACAAGGCAGATCTTCTGACTCGGGTCCTGGCTCTCCACCCTCCTCCTTCTTCTTCCCACCCTAACTGACGGAGGGGCCCAAAGGAGACACGCAAGCCCTGCCCTGTCTCAGCAGGACCTGAAGGGCCATGTCCCTCATCCCGTGGCTCCGGTGGAACGAGGCCCTGCCACGGCCGTCATCCCGGACCCCGGCTGAGATGGTGCTGGAGACGCTCATGATGGAGCTGGTGGGGCAGATGCGAGAGGCCGAGAGGCAGCAGCGGGAGCGCAGCAACACGGTCAGGAAGATCTGCACCGGAGTGGACTACAGCTGGCTGGCCAGCACGCCCCGGGCCACCTACGACCTCAGCCCCAGTGAGCGGCTGCAGCTAGAAGGTGTCTGCGCCAAGATCCACCCGTCCTACTGTGGGCCGGCCATCCTCAGGTAACCCCCGGCCCTGACGTGGGGCCCAGCTGCTGGGCTGCAGGTGCCAGGGAGCACGGTTGCGGTGGCAGGGCCTGAGATTACCAGGGGGCTTGGGTGACCCAGCCATGTGTTAGAAGGAGCAAGGCAGAAGGAGCAATCTGAAAAAGGCCGTGGGACATCAGGCAGGGGCGGCTCTCGGATCCAGGCTCATGAGTTTTGATAGGAGAGGACCCCAAGCCTTTGAACATCCTGTTCTCCCTGCCCAGACTGTTATTATCCTGGGTTTTAACAAGCTGGCTCCTCCCCTTTAGTCCATCTTCCATATTACCTTCTTAGGGAGGTTTTCCCAAATAACATGACCCTATTTCACACTAGCTTGCCAAAAGTGTGTGTGTGTGTGTGTGTGTGAGAGAGAGAGAGAGAGAGAGAGAGAGAGAAGAGTACAGAGCCCCAGGGCACTGAACATTAAGAGCTTGGCTACAATAATGTTCCTGAATATAAATGTAACTTGATAAAGCCGTGACCTACATAGTCCACTATCAAATGGATACATGTTGAGGTCAAAGAAGCATAGTCCAACAACCGAAAGTAATTTCCAAAGTAACTCAGGTTCTTTACTTGCATTTCTCAAATACTAGTAAATAAATACAGATCTACGATAAAGCATCTTAAAATCTCCCTTAGTCCCCAAAATCTTCTCTCACCCATCTGTAACTAACACATATGTATCTGTTGTATGCCTTTTGCTTTTGAAAAGTTCCTTAAAAACTCCTCCTTCTCCAGTCTGTCTGCACACTTTGGGATTTTGTCGTCTTTTTATCTCCCTCCTGCTTCTTCCTCTGGGCTGAGAATCTTACCCGTTCTTACTTTCCTTATTCTGCACCATGGAATTCTCCTTATCCCCCACCCCATGTATCGAGTTCCAGAAGCGCCCTGGGGACAGGGGCGGGGGTGCTGAGTCATGGGGGCGGGCAAACCAGACCTCGAAAATTACGGGAAGCGGGGGACATACATATGGTATTGATTGTCTTGTCACATTTCTGGCCCCTTGTCGCTGCTGGAAAGTTGGAGCAGTCCCGACTCTGAGCATGGCAGAAGAACCTTCGGGGTCTAGGGGCTTGGTAACTCCATTCATTCCCGAGCTCCAGCAAAGACACTTCAGGTGGAGGAAACGGTTGGGGAGCCCGCAGGGAGCCAGAGAACCAGGGGCTGGGGGGACACGCGTGATTCTTCCTGGTTGGAGCACAGACACGGGCAGCGGGCGACCTGGTGGCCTGACCAAGGAGGCCTGGGAGCTATGGAGGGCAAGTCTGCGGCAGAGACCTAATCAGAGAGACCACTCGGGCCAGTGGGCGGAGCCTGGAGGGAGAGGGTGAGCCAGAAACCCCCCTCCGTGGGAGGAAGGGGCAGTGGGCCCCCTTGCTGCACTGACGGGGATCACCCGCGGTAAGCGCCAGGAGCTTTTCATGTGTCGGCTCATGACACCTCACAAAAAGGTGGCTGTGACCCCAGTGTACAGATGGGGAAGCTGAGGCTCCTGGAGGCCAGAGTGGCAGAGCTGGGATTCGAGCTCAGGATGGGCTGGGGCAATAAGCACGCCGGGTGGCTCCTGACTCGCTTAAGGAGAAGTGGGGAAGTGGAGGGCTTGGGACTTGGCCTCAGGGGTGCACCTCGGAGCCCCGGGGCCACGTGCCACAACCAGGTGACCGCCCCACCCGCGCAGGTTCCGGCAGCTGGTGGCCGAGCGGGAGCCCGAGGTGCAGGAGGTGTCGCGGCTCTTCCGCTCGGTGCTGCAGGAGGTCCTGCAGAGGATGAAGCAGGAGGAGGAGGCCCGCAGGCTGACCCGGCAGTGGAGCCTGCGGCCCCGCGGCAGCCAGGCGCTGGCCGCCTTCAGGACCCGCGCGCGCATCTCTCCCTTCGCCAGCGACATCCGCACCGTCTCTGAGGACGTGGAGCGGGACGCGCGGCCGCCGCCCCGGGCCTGGAGCATGCCCGAGTTCCGAGCGCCCAAAGAGGACTGACCTGCCTGCCCCTGCTAAGGGTCAGAGCCACCTGCGGGAGGGCATGGAAGGCCTGTGACCCTCCGGGTCCTGAAACCTGCCCCCCTGCCCCGACCAGGGGCCCGGAGGCAGCCCCTCCCTGACCCTACCCCACCCCGCTCCCACCCTCTCCCTCTGGCCACGGGGACCAGGGCCAGCGCTTGGAGCTGCAGCAAGGCCACCTCCCTCTCTCCCTCCCCGCGCCAGTCGCCCCTCCCAGCCTTGCAGAGACCCAGGGGCCCCATCCCTCTCTGCTTCTGTCTTGGGGGAGAAGAGTTGCCCTGCCTTTTGCCTTTTTGCCAAGACCTGAGTCCTCACCCCAACTTCGGGGTTGTCCCATTCACCCCATCTCCCTGGGTAACGATGAAGGACCTGCTGGGTGGTGTCCATTCTCTGTTGGTGACTGGCTGGTCCCACCGCTGCAGGTGAGTCACAGCCTGGTGAGTCAGCAGAGCTGGAAGGGGCCACAGAGGTGAGGAGGCCCACTCTGCGGGCTAGTGAAGGAGGAGACTGAGGCTCAGTGAGCGCCCGGCTCCTTCCTCCTTAACCTGCACATGGATCCCCACAGGTGGTGAGGTCATCCCTGTTTGCACATTCTCTTGTCCCTGAGTCCTTGAGCCCTGGGCTATGATGGGACAGGCCCAAGGGCTACCTCTGCACCTGCCTGGGTCTGACCTTTATCTTACCTTGGCCTTGGCATGGGGGTTAAGCTGCTCCCCAAGAAAGGTACCTGGGGCGGAGGTAGATTGCTGTCACCCCACCCCATGGTGCCATCACCTGGGAGGTGGCCAGTCCCCAGCAGCTTCTTCCAGAAGCTAAGCCTCAACACCTCCCAACTTGGCTGCTTTGGAGAGCCCAGCTCTTTTGATTCCTGGGTCCCTTCTGATCCTGATCACACTGGCTCTTTGGCTTTCCCCAAGGAAAGGAATGCTCAAACGCCTAGCTGAGGTGGAGGCTCCTGAAATGTTGTAGAGGAGCCTCCCAGTGGGTTAGATCTTGATGATGGGCATGTGGATTCTCCAATGTGTGGACCACCCATAGTGAATGCAGAAGGCCAGGTGGCCTCCCCACACTCTGGGCTGAAATGGTGTGAGGGGGGATGGGTGGGGAAAGAGTCCCCAATTATTCATGCATGCTCAGAAAATGCAAGTGGATCTTTTTATTAATGTAAATAAAATGCCAGGAGAAGATAAGTCAGCAGGGGAAAATCCATATATCCCGTCACCAAGCTCAGTGGCAAAATTTTTTTAAATCTAATTTTGAATTATTTTCACTCAAATCAAGACAAAGAATCATAGGATGGTGAAAAATGTCTCGTTGAACACTGTCAAGATGGAATTGGTTAGCTCACTCATGTACTCGGTAAAAGTTGAGAGTCTTTTCAATAAAAATATACATCTTAAACATCTTACATGTTTTATGTTAAGACACTAAAAAGCTCATTGAACTGCCAAACTTTTAATGTAGGTCCAAGCTGTGTTCACGTGTGTGTGTGTGTGTGTGTGTGTGTGGGTTGTTTGATAAGAGTACTACACTTCAGTTTTCCTGTGTTGTGTGTCCTGTAATCAGAACAGTAAGAACTGGTACAATCTTTGAAACAAACAGAAGAGACCTTTGATAAGCAGACAACTCAGCTGGTAGGAGCAGGAGTTTTGGGAAACAGAAAAGGACCTACTAGCCATGAGCTTTCTAGGTGCCTGGGATGTGGGCCAACAGGAGGAAACAGCGTGTCAGGGTCCACCTGGTAGGGGTTCCCAGAAGGTCAGGTAAGAGGGTGTCTGATATTTTCCTCCTTCCTCTGCCCCACCCTGCATGTACCTACCTATTCTCCCCAAGGAAAAGGAAGATGTGAAGCTCTCAGTGTTGTGTTGTTTCTTACGTTGAAGTAACTGGCCATCCATAAAAGCCTTCCCGCCCACCTCAGTCAAGACAGACTGAACCCACCAGCCTCAGACACCCGTTTGTCCTGCTGCAGCGAATCCCAGCAGGGAATCAAACCAGTGAGATTCAGGTCATAAAAGGGAGTAATGATGTCTGCCTCAATTTCTACTTTAAAAAGTCAACATATAAAAGAATAAGGCCGTCTGAGGGGCTCCTTGTGAGTGCGTGCTATCTGCTACTGGCAGTTGAAGAGGTTGAGGTTGGGGATGCTCAAGGTTCCCAGGACAGTCCATCTGCACCCAACTCAACAGCAGTAGCCACCAGAGGGAGCCAGTGGGGTTGGACCCGTCAGTGGTTACAATTTATTTCACTTTGGTGGTGGTTATGAACATCTTCAAACACAGAAAGTAGAGGGAAAGTATAAGGAGCCCCCATATTTTCATCACCAGAGTTTAAGAGTTATTAATATTTTTCCATATTTGCTTTATTTACTTTTTTGTGAAGTATTTTCAAATAAAACCCAGACACCATGACACTGCACCCCTGAGTACTTTTAGTATGCCCTGCAAAGGAATAAGGACATTTTCCTGTCACCACAATGCCATCACTCCCAACAAATTGACAGTCATTCCTTAATATCATCTAATACCCAGCCCATATTCAAACTTCTCTAACTATTCCCAACAAATGATTTTTGCAGTTTATTTCTTTGAGGATCTAATCAAGCCCCACAGATTCACAAGAAAGTTGCAGTCTGTTTTATTTTTGGTCATATTGTATTAACTTAATTCCACAATGAAGTATAGTTTAAAGTTAGAGTGACTATGATATATTAGTATTAATATGTGGTAAGTTAATGACTGCATATGAATGATAATAATTCTGCAATTTAGCCCAAGGACACTTTTTACTCAGATCGTACTTATGTTCATTTGATTAAAGTTCTTTCAACAGCAACCAAGATTCTTTAATACCTTGAAATAACATTAAAAATCAGTAGTGACACTATATCTAGTTTGACTTTTCATTTGATTTAAAATTCTCTCCACTTTCCTGTGTTTTATTTTCTCAAACATGCTTCCAAATAGCCATCTAAAAACCTATCTTCTTGCCACTTAGAAACAAACCACTAAACTTTATCCAAAAAACTCAAGGGAAATCTCAAGAATTCTAAGAGTAGGTAATGAAAAACATCTGTCTTTTTTTTGAAGCCATCATTCAACACGCAGTGAAATTTCCATGTCTTAATATTCATGCAGCTCCTTAACAAAACACAATGGTATTTCAAAATTTATTCATCAACAAATAACTTTTAGTTATTTTAAATGAATACCTTGCATCATTTGTTAAAGTAGGAAATTAGCAGTTGCTTTTTTGTGACTATTATTACATATTGTATTAAATTAGCAATATTGATAAGGTGCTAATCTAAAAGTAAAAACATTGACTGAAAATCATGACTTTATCATAGTCAAGGGAAAAATAATGAAGTAATTTTTTCAAGTTTCTGTAAATGTCCAAGAGGTTTGCTATTACTGAGAAAGACATTCAGAAGCCAACAGAGGTCGCAGCGTTTTCAGGCATGTCAACATAAGAAACATTCAAACCTGTAGAGAATTTTTGGTGAGCTTATTTGAGCCAAACTGCTGATAATTGCCAGGAAGCAGTAGTTTAGCACCTTGCTTTACACGTTGGAATCGAAGGAGGATCCATAATAGGGTTATATGAAGTCCACCCGCACTAGATTAGGGAGGCGGGAGAAAGCAAAACAGGAAACCTCTGGGATTGGATAAAAAGTAAAATGACGGACACATCTTTCTTTTATGTCCGTGAGTAAGGGATGGTTAACAGTCAACATTAACATGATAACAAATAAGGAGAGGATTTGTGGTCTCTCTCTGTGCCCAAGGGGTTTGGGAAAAAGGGAAGTTACCTTGACTTTCCAAAGGAATGTTATCATAGAAGCGAAAAGACAATAGACAGGTTTAGTTAAGGTAAAGATTGACCTTTGCTATGGAAAAATACTGGCCTAGTATGTGAACTGCTTTTGGTTCATAAACTTTAATTTTAGACCATCCTCTGTGGTTACTTTCGATCTCTGAGTTTGTGAGTCTGCCTCGCAGGTCTCCCCTGAGCTCGTCAGGTTAATAGTGGCCCCTTTTTTCCCACAGGCACACTTGAGTGTATGGCATTCAAGTCAGGAACAAATGCAGCCTTCCCCAAGCCCCCCACTCAAACTTGGAAGCTCTGCAGCCCATTCTCCAGTCCCGGCTAGGATGTGGTGCTGGTAGAGTTCCAGGAACAAGCCATTTCTTCCATTTTGAGTCCTGAGGCCCACAGCTTAGAAGCTGCTCCCGGTAGCCCCTCGGGGCCTCTCAGGCTCTCACTGAGAGCGCAGGCTCCAGAACACAGGACAGGGGAGATACTGCTGAGGTTAGTGCTCCATAGTAGAAAAGAAACCAAGCCACGAGACAAAGAATCTGCTTCGAAAAGGAGCGGAGAAAGGCAACTTTTATCCAAATAACCCTGTCCAACAATATTGCTATGGACAGAAATAGCTTTGTCATCAAGAAAATTCCTTGTACATTATTATAATTTCTAGTTAAACTAAATTGTCTGTAAGTGTATTCTTCAAAATACATTATAGTTGATAAAATTGGCATGATTTCATTGACATTGTGGAACCTCAGATGTGATCTTTTGGAAATAATTCTTTGATTATAAATTTTCTCCAATTATAACTACACATTTTGTCTTTATCAAAGATGGTTATTTGTCAGCTTCATGTTTTCTCATATTAAATTCTTAGCTAAAAAGAAAAAAAAAAAGAAAGAAAATTCCTTTGCTTTCCACTACAGATGCAAGAAAAAAAGTGTCCTTGCCTCTTCTGTCTGACTATGGCAGACAAGACTTAATGGGAAATACAGAAAAAGAAAAGAAAAAGAAATTCCTTTATTAACATTTGAATGGCCCTTTACAGTTTACAAAGAGCTTTCATCTACAACTATCTCATTTGATTTGACCCTGAGGTGTGAGATGCATTACGTTTTGCCTCAGGTTATAAGTAAGAGTCCAGGCTGAACTTGGAAGCCAGGGTTCCT